CTCATATTCCAAGTCTACATGGCTTCCACATCGTCAATGGCGTCCTCAAACCCAAATCTCTTCAAATCGGCATGTTCTTCAAGAAATGGGTATTTTCTCATCTTTATTTCTTTCCTTTTTTTCTTAAAGCTATTTTTAGTATTGTCATTAAATTTGATTTACTGGCAAGTCTTTCGTGGGAAACCAGATCATCTCCATTTATGTCGTGAGGCTATAATGGCCAAATTATTTAGATGGAAACATATACATCAGCCATTAAGTGATGTACATCTGTATTACATGCAAAAATAAAGTCTAATTAAGTTTGAATTTGAACTCATCACGGAGAAAATTAAAACTTGGAAATCATAGAGATTAGTGAGGTTAATCACTTTTTAGTTGGCTACGGCTCCTCGTTGGTAAAGTCATTAGAATAGATTCGTTTCACTCTTGTCCTCACTTATTTGTTCTCTTTGGAAAATATCTAATATTAATATTAGTACCGGCGAATCAATGCTCTTTCTTTTATGACTAGTCAGATTTTATATTCTTGGCTTTATCTCGACACTTGTTCTTGATTAATTGTACCATGAACAACATCAAATCCAATTCATTCTGTACTCTTCTTTCTTTATTCGCATATTATTTTGATTAAAGCTTTAGAAACTTAGTAACCCACTCACTACGGAATGATGATAACCATTATCTCACTTTAGGCTTAGCTAATTATGCTCTCATTCTTTAAATTATTTAATTAGTCAGCTAATCAATCAAATGATTTGTATTTTGAATATTTGTTTTCACACTACAGAAATTCCACAGAGATTTGCCTGCCACACCAGTATTCGCATACGGTGCATCGAAGCGCACAGCAACAGTTCCCGGACCTACAATCGAAGCCGTTTATGGCATCTCCACCTACGTGACGTGGCGAAATCACCTCCCTTCATCTCACATCCTCCCTTGGGACCCAACAATCTCTCCCGCCATCTCCAAACGCGGCGGCATTCCCACGGTTGTCCACTTACACGGTGGAATCCACGAACCGGCCAGCGATGGAAACGCTGATTCCTGGTTTACCTCCGGTTTTAGAGAAACCGGAACTAAATGGACCAAAACGACTTATCATTACGTAAACAAGCAACAACCTGGTAACATGTGGTACCACGACCACGCTGCTGGTTTGACCAGAGTCAACCTTCTCGCTGGTTTGTTAGGTGCTTACATTCTCCGACATAACTCCGTAGAAACGCCTCTTCGGTTACCCACTGGTCGTGAGTTTGACCGGCCGTTGATCGTATTTGACCGGAGTTTCCGCAAAGACGGTTCGATTTACATGAACGCAACCGGGAACAATCCGTCGATTCATCCGCAATGGCAGCCGGAGTATTTCGGCGACGCGATCATCGTTAACGGAAAAGCTTGGCCGAAGTTAACCGTCCGCCGCCGTAAGTACCGGTTTAGAATCATAAACGCTAGCAACGCTAGATTCTTCCGGTTCTTCTTAACCAACGGTTTAGATTTCATCGTCATCGGTTCGGATTCGGCTTATTTAGCTAAACCGGTTTCGACCAAATCGGTTCTCCTCGCTCCCTCGGAAATTGTCGACGTAGTCGTTGACTTTTCAAAGTCAACGACGAAGACAGCGATACTAGCCAACAACGCTCCTTATCCTTACCCATCGGGAGACCCCGTGACGGATGAAAACAGCAAAGTCATGAAGTTTAAAATCAAGCACGAATCAGAAAAGGACACGTCAAGAATTCCGACAAAGCTGATCCAATACCCGCGTGCTGACGTGTCGAAATCGGTTCGAACGCGTTACATAGCCATGTTCGAGTACGTGTCGAGCGCTGACGAGCCGACACATTTATACATTAACGGTTTGCCTTATAACGCTCCAGTAACGGAAACTCCAAAAATCGACACGAGCGAGGTGTGGGAAGTGATTAATCTGACGGAAGATAACCATCCGTTACACATTCACTTGGGACTGTTCAAAGTGTTGGAGCAGACGGCGTTAGTGGAGACTGAGAAGTTCACGGACTGCATGACGGAGAGGAACGACGCCGTGAAGTGCCAGATCAGCAAGTACGCACGTGGGAATAAGACGGCGGTGACGGCGCACGAGCGAGGGTGGAAGAACGTGTTCAAGATGATGCCGGGACATGTAACGAAGATCCTCGTTAGGTTCTCTTACGTTCACTCTAACGAGTCTTACTCATTTGACGCCACTCAAGAGCCAGGCTACGTATACCATTGCCATGTAAGTTAGTGAATGATAATTATTTTTCTTAAATCAGATTTTTTGGGAGCTAATTATATATTTTTGATTTGTAGATATTGGATCACGAAGACAATATGATGATGAGACCTTTTGAGATGGTCAAGTGATACGATTTTTTCAGCAAGGTTGATAAACGGTTATGTAATTCTACAGAAAACACTTAATGTTATGGAACCACTGGAATGGGAGGTGTAGTGAAGGAGATTCAACCCACAAAGATATAAATCTCAAAATATTATCTAGCATCAAACTTCGTGTGGAATTAATATTTTGGTGGTGATATAGCAACAATACTAATCCAAAATGTATTTGTTTCAGCTGTATGAGAGCTCCGAAAACAACTAAAAGAACAAGTGTTATATTTATTAGAACATCTTCACTCTTTAATTTACTCTATTTTATTTAAAAATAAAGTTAAAAATTGAATAGTGGACAAAAATAAAATCATAACTTCATTTATGAAATAATATTTTATTTTGTGTTCATCATTCCATTTCCACTTTATTTTATAATAAATTATGAATTAGTGATAAAAATACCTTTATAATATTTAAACGGCAATAAGACGAGATTATTCATTTTAACCTCTTTACTGTATGACTAAACCTTTTGTTTTGTTTGGTATCTAAAAATGAGATAAACAGAAAAAGAAATGCGAAAAGACATAGCAACATCAAACCTTAAATATTAAATCTCACATTAAAGTTGAGAGGTCTGATATTGTATTTCCGATTAGGTTATGTCTTAGCTCTATTATTGAGAGTCTCAAGCTCACGGTTTCAGATTTTGTAGTATCTATAGATAGTGAGACCAATCTCTAGTGAGATTCTAAATGTAATACTCACGGTTACAAATTTCTAGTGATTTCGTTTTTGTAAATTTACATTATGTGATACAGATAAACCAGTTACTAGGATTGGTCATTCAGAGAACAAGAATCCACTTCTCATTAATTAAAACCGAGTACGACGATGATCAGTCTCAGCAACCAATGAAAAAAATTCTCGAACTCAAAGAAAAAGTCACAACTTGATAAAATTCAGCATAATTAATCCTCAAAACCAATTTGTCAACGTTATATATTCCTGTATAGTTATGAGCCATAGGTGCTCGCATCCGATACTTGGATTTACGTGTTATATTGCTATACATCATTGTGTTTCAAATTTCAATCTATCTATATTCTTTAGACATTATAAGTAGCTTGTCAATGGAGTGAGAAACTGGGCCTTTGGGCTAACAACCACGGTCTTTAACGGGTCATGTAACTCATTTAATACGGTTGATATTGGGTAGTTGGTAAGTGAGAGAGGGGAAAAGGTGAATGATTACCAAATCCCTCGTACTCTAACCACCAGTCAATTCAACTGAATACTCATGTTTCTTTGATCTTATCCGTCTCATGCACCCACACTTTGTAGTTTGTCCCTTTCTTTCAATTTATCGTTTTTTTTTTGTAACTGATTTATCCTTTTCTTTTTGTAATAGATTTATCCTTTTTTCTCTCTCAATAATTTGATGTTTCTGTACAACTTCCGGATATTAAGCAAAAATATATATACCCAGTTAATTATGAACCACTTGCAAAATATCTTCTTATTCTCATTATCTTAGTTTCTAAAATATCTTTTTTCTATTTTATTTGGGTGAAAAAACTGGAAAAATATCTGTGAATATGACGCTCATCATATATAATTTGTGATAACTTGTATTAAATTTGCAAAAATTTGTAGGTACTTGCAAAATTTAGGTAAATTGAAAAAGTTTCTAAAACATTTCATAACTCATAACTTAAATTTAGTAAAAAAAAAAACGTTTCATAACTTAAGCATCAGCGATGAGATTTTAACAAATCATGAGGACCAATAAGGATTAATTAATATGTACTTTTCTTCAGATAAACTCGGCTCCTATTCGTTAACTTATATATTCGTTTCTCAACAAAAAAAAACTTATATATTCTTGTGTCCTCTCAAAATAAAACTTATATATTCTTGTCCTTTTACGTAATTCCACATATATTTATTACATCAACGTATTTACATTACAAAAATCTACCGTTATTTAAAAGTAGATGTCTAACAATTTTACTTAACGTCTCATATAAATTTCCGTTGATTAATGTAGAAAAATAATAACAAATTATATATTGAAAATCAAATCTTTTTTTAATCAAATCTTAGATTTCAAGTGTGGAAATATTCATGAACTATATTTTCTCAAAAAAAATATTCATGAACTATTGATCAACCACTAAACAAGAGGCTTAGCTTCCACATATTAAAAAGATAATTTTGTGAATCTATTAGTTAATTCCAGAAATTTTAATTAATTACATGTAATAATTCCCGTTCAGAAATTTATCTGTCGAAGACAAATCTTTTCCTTTCCACACTATTAAAACCATATATACGAGAAAGTATGCCCACTTAAAAATAATATGGACAAGAAGCGAGCGAGGTTTGGACTGGAATGGTATAGGTAAGGCAAATTAAATGCGAGCTCTTTCCACATTTATGATTCCACGGCTGTATGAAAACTCATCCGTGGTAATGAGAATTGAATAAACGTGGGGTCATTTATCACATTGATGTGATCTTCTTCTTCTTCCTCGTCCAACTATTTTTTTTTAATTTGACCATGCACGCTTCTCTCAACCCACCGGTCCAAGTCAAACTTCTATCCACATATAACTACCATTCCCCTATATATCAATTGCATTCTTGTAAACAACCTCACCATCAATCAACTAACAATAGAACCTACCAATCTCTCCTTTGAAGAAGACATGAACAAAAATCGCCAAGGCGCTCTCTCTCGCCCTTACGGTAATTAAATTTCTTCCTCGATATATACTCTTGTTCAATATTTTGTGTTTGCTTTCATTTTACCAAATAATTCATAATTAAAGATCGGTGTATAAAACATGTGCATGAGTGAGTTTGAAACAAAACTTTGTGAAATTTTAACACCTACTCATTGTTTTAGGAATGCTACACCGTGTCAAGAGATATAGAGTGAGAGGGAGAAAGTACGCAAAGCCAGAACTTAAACAAAGCAACTTCTCAAAAGACGAGGACGATCTCATCCTCAAGCTTCATGCACTTCTTGGCAATAGGTTTTCATTCTTTCTTTAATTCAATTTCAAACGTTATTATGAAAAATATACCATAATGTGAATAAAGATTTTGATGGTACGTTTTCAGATGGTCGTTGATAGCGGGAAGATTGCCTGGACGAACCGATAACGAAGTAAGGATCCATTGGGAAACTTACTTAGAGAAGAAACTAGTGAAAATGGGAATCGATCCAACCAATCATCGTCTCTACCGTCACACCAACTCCATTTCTAGACGATTCATCAATGCCTCGCGTAAGCAACATGAAACGGATGTGGTTAGTGATCAATCTTCTTCGGTATCTGAATCATGTAATATGACACTATTACCGGTCACAAGTACCAATTGCTCTGAGGATAATGCTAGTGCCAGACATATCCAGTTGCCTGACCTCAACATTGGTCTCGCCCCGATGAAGACTAGCGAATCCTCTAACTATGGTTCAACGAGTCAAGAAACACTTGTTCTTTTTCGGTGAAGAATGTACTGTGAGATTACGGAATTTGTCAAAGTCTTGTTCAGATTGTGTATTTGTTTGTACACATCTTCATATATAACCCCACTTGATAATAAAATGATTTTTGAAAATTTTAATCCTTAAAATGGACCGGCTGATCTGCATCAGATTCGTACCATAATGTTCGGTTTCTTTTTGTGTGAAACCATGGTATACGTCAACGTTGATAACCGGTGATTAGATCAATAATGCCGTAAGGTATTAGCTATTGCCTATCAGAAGAAAAGAAAATGGGTTGCACGTTGAATGGTTGCTTTCCACGACAGTAATGAAACCAACTCACTTAATGAAGAAAAGTATGTTCATCTTCCTCCAAATTACACTTTACTCTTTATACAAAAGTAATTTATGTCTCTCCTAGCAAAAAGGAAGCTATCAAATACTAAGACTGAGTTTTTTTCCTTTATCAAAAGAATATTGTTCGATCTACTTACTAATTTTTACCCTAAAATAAATACCAACTAAATATTTTAATTAACGTAAATAGAGTTTTTTAGTACTTAATCAATTAACTACTTCTCGACCCAAAAAATAAACTAAATATTTTGATTAATTTCAGTCATATATTTTTGCAATATACTTGCGTTGGATAATGACATAAAATTACATGTTGTCAAGTGAAAATAAATTTACCTGAAACATATTAGCTATTGTTATATCCGAAAATAGTGTGCTTAATCATCATTTGAGATTAAACACATTAAAAGTTTGGTTTGGTGACTTTGTATGTCTATTAGGACACACATCAAGAGAATCTCTGGTAATAGTTTCAAGACAAACCTGGAAACTGAATGAGACGATGGAGAGGTCCTTTGACGATAGTGTTTGCATTCACAGTGAAGAAATATGATTACATGTCTCGCAAAAGTTTGCTTACCAAAATCTAGATGAATTGAGATCAGAGTCCGCCTCTTGATAATTGTTGTCCACATTATAAATTTATGATAAAGAATCACAATAGATCCTCAAAATACTATGAACCAAAAGTTCTAGTTTTTTGTTTTGATTCATTCACTCCACATTATATTATGTATTAAAATAGCAAATCAGAATACTCGATGTCTTAAGCATGGAAACTCTAAGAGAGAAACATAAGCTCTCCAAGTAGCACAAACACTAATCTGCAGGATGAACTGGAAGTCTGGACCAAGCATTTAAATGAATTAAGCATTTTATTTGGTAGACATTTTCATTTATGATATGGTTTGATTTATTACCTAGTGGCATTATATTTGTCAGGAAATGCTTAATGTAGTCATAGTGTGTGTGTCTATCATGTCTTTCAAATGAGTTTGTCTTGGATCTTGCGAAGAAAATCTAAAAAAAGTTTAATAATGCGGCCCTAGAAAAATCACAAAAGTGCTTTTACAATAGATATTTTTCCTAAAAGTGTTAAAAACAGAAAAAGATTTCAAAAAGTAACAAATCAATGATAAAATAACATAATCATACATAATAAATTATTTAAGAAAAGAAGGATAGCTATAATTACAAATGGAAATATATTGCTTCTTCACCTTTTGGTTTAGTGTAAGCCAGAGACTGTAACAAATCAATGATAAAACAGATTAAAGCCTTTATATCTTTACCAAAAGTTAGCAAAAAAAAAAACAAATCAATGATAAAACAGCTTATAAATACACATAAGAAGTTATTTAAGAAAAAAAAAGAAGGAATGATAGCTATAATTACAAAGGCAGAGATTTGTTTCACCTTTTGGTTTAGTGTAAGCCAGATAATATACCAAAAAGACATGTCAATGCAATGCATCTAGCATACTACTGACCAAATCCTTCATGAATCACAAGTGAAATGTTATCTTACCTGCTTTCTCATAGAGAAAAAATAACTGATTTGACTTTTTATTACCATCAAAGACTTATATGACACATATTTTGGCTGATTCCATTCTTTTATTCCCTACTACCACATTACAATATTTAGATAAAAGTCATCTTTACAGCCAAGCACAGAATAAACCATTCCCATAAAAAGATGTTTCTTTCTTGAAATGTGGTTTGTTTCCACTACATAAGTCTGGTTGCAATACAAATTTGTAATTATTGAAATTGACAACTTGCACCACCGCGAATCTCGCCCTCAATAATCTAGTCTATATTATTTTAATGTAATTACATTAAATCAAAACAAAAAAAAACTAGACATTTAAAACGGTGTCGTAGTAACGAATTCTTCTACATTTTTGTTCCACATGGCCTCGTTGGAGGGATAAATAAAAAGCGTTACAGGCACGTCTGAGTCAGAGCCTGAGATAGTCCAAAAAAATCCATATGCGAACGACGTCGTAAAAATGGCTGGAGTAGCCGTCTCTCCCGCTTCTCTGCTCCTCGTGATCGCTGAAATCTCCGAGATCACGGCGAGCGCGGGGGCACTGTTTAAGAAGGACTGCGCCGATCTCGCGAGGAGAGTTTGTCTGTTGACGCATTTGGTCGAGGAGATTAGGGATTCTCCGGCGGAGAAGAAGAAGAAGACGGAGACGGAGGAGGAGGAGGAATGTGATGGTTCGTCTTCTTTGGTTTCTAGTGAATGTGATTGGTGGTCTGATCTTGTGGTGGGTCTTCAAGCCGCGAAGCGTCTTCTGAGTGCAGCCACTTGTTTCCAGGCTCGAGAATCCTCTGTAAGCATATTTTCCTGTCTGATTCTCAGAGTGAATGATCAAACGTTGTATTATGTATTAGGTTGGTTACTTCCTAAGATCCCATTCATTGGTGTTTCAGTTTCGTGGCAGTGCTTTGAAATTCGAATACCCGTTGGCTCTAAAAAAATTGGTTCAGTTTTTTTCGGTTTTGGTTCGGTTCTGGTAACAATATTAGAAACCAATTTAAACCTAGAAAAAATTGGGTCCACTACGGGTTGGGTTTAAATTTTTTTAGTGGTTTTGGATGATTTCAAATAATTCGAATGAAAATATTATATTAATCAGGTTTTTAGAAAAATAATATCGGTGAATTCGGATTGTTGAGATAAATAATATGAATAATTTTATATATTTTGGATAATATTGAGGTCATTATATTTCCAAATGATTATTTTTTTATGCTATTAGATACTTGTGAACATAAATTTTTGGTTTATAAATTGTAACTTTAGATATATAATTATTTTGAAACTAAAAATAACTACTATTTTCAGGTATATAAATTGTATTTTGGTATTTGGACATCATTCAGTTTTCGGTATAATTCAGGTTCTGTTTCATTTTTTCAAGTAAAAAAAATAGGAACATTCGGATATTCTATCAATTTCGGTTCGGTTTCCTTCGTTTGTATTTTCGGGTTTCTGATAAAATGTCCAGGTCTACTTTCCAGCAAAGAGTTTGTAACTTGATATTGATATGGTTGTCATCATTTGTGTTGTCACGATCATCTCTTGATGAGAAATTCTCTGAAATTTGATATGTATTGATTATGAAGGAGGGTGCTGCGAAGAGAATATCATTCCAGTTCCAATGTGTTACATGGAAGCTGGAGAAAGCATTAGGAAACTTGCCCTATGACCGTTATGACATCTCTGACGAAGTCCGTGAACAGGTAAGACTATGAAGACTTATTGTCCTTCTTCATCTCCCCCTGGAGCTGTTTCTAAGGTTGTATATTGACTTGTTAATCAGGTGGAACTTGCAAGGTCGCAGTTGAGAAGAGCAATGCAGAGATACGGATCTCTGAACTCGAAGAAGTTCTCAACTGCTCTATCCGAGCCAATGGAGAAAGATGCATCAAGCAAAGTCACTGAGAAGTTGGAGAGTATTCCAGAAACAGTGAATCACTCCAACACTACTTTATCTGATCAAAAGAAATTAGGATCACCGCGAAGGAAGAGCTCTTCACTTTCCTTGGCCTTCTTTTTATCAAAAGACGCTGATAACGAGAGGTTAGAGAAAGCAATCACCAAGAGCAACGATGACTCAAAGAAATCAGACAACAATCTCACAATCCCTGAGGATTTTCTTTGTCCAATATCTCTGGAGCTCATGAAAGATCCTGTCATTGTCTCCACTGGACAGACATACGAGAGGTCTTACATACAAAGATGGATAGACTGTGGAAACCTAAGATGTCCAAAGACTCAGCAGAAACTCGGAAACTTCACTCTTACTCCAAACTACGTTCTCAGAAGCCTCATCTCTCACTGGTGCACTAAGCACAACATTGAGCAGCCAGGTGGTTACATTAAACAATGTGACGGTGATCTAAGTGGAGACATGTCAGTGATACGTGCATTGGTTCGTAAGCTCTCGACAAGATCACTAGAAGACCGAAGGACAGCTCTTTCAGAAATCAGGTCTCTGTCAAAACGAAACACAGAGAACAGAATCTTGATTGCAGAAGCAGGAGCCATCCCTGTTTTAGTCAAACTCTTGACATCAGAAGACGTTGAAACGCAGGAGAAAGCAGTCACTTGCGTTCTTAACCTCTCGATTTACGAAGGGAACAAAGAGCTGATCATGCTTGCAGGTGCAGTCACATCTATAGTTCAAGTCCTGAGAGCTGGAACTAACGAAGCTAAAGAAAACGCTGCAGCTACACTCTTTAGTCTTTCGTTACCTGATGAGAACAAGATCATAATAGGCGCTTCTGGTGCGATACCTGCGTTAGTGAATCTCCTTGAGAACGGTAGCGTGAGAGGGAAGAAAGACGCTGCAACTGCTCTGTTTAATTTGTGTGTTTATGAAGGGAACAAAGGAAGAGCGGTTAGAGCTGGTATTGTAAACCCATTGGTGAAAATGCTGAGTGATACTTCGAGTCACAGGATGGTCACTGAAGCTTTGACCATACTCTCGGTTCTAGCTGGTAACAAAGACGCTAAAACCGCGATTTTGAAGGCGAACGCGATACCATCTTTGATAGCGTTGTTACAGAAAGATCTGCCTAGAAACAGAGAGAACGCAGCGGCGATATTGTTTGCTCTTTGCAAGAGAGATACTGAGAAACTGATATTCATTGGTAAACTTGGAGCTGTTGTTCCGTTGATGGAACTTTCAAGAGATGGTACAGAGAGAGCTAAGAGGAAAGCTAATTCTTTGCTTGAGCAGCTCCGCAAATCATCTCAAAAACTATGCTCAAAATAGCTCTTTAACCAAAAATTAAAAAATAAAGATTTGAAAATTAACTTCATTGTTAGTATTTGATTTAATTTCGTTGGATGTTTGTTTGATATTTTTATGTTCTGTAATGATTGTTGAGCTTTGTTTGGAAGACTAATTCCAGTTTGAGAAGGTTGGAAGTGTAAAGAGTTGCGAGAATCGGATCTCTTTTATTCACCTTTTTCTATTTATTTATTGATTTTGTAATAACAAATATTGTGTTAATCAAAGCTTTTATATGATTAATAAGGTCTTTGATTTGCTTTTCTTTTTCAATCGAGTGTTAGTTTTACTCTAAATAATTATACCATTTTCAAATAATTAAATGTTTCTAACGGTAGCGCCATTGCTTGAAATGAATCCTAGATCGGTGGCGATAACGTAAGCAGCAGTGAGGTTGTCAATACACACAAGAAGAGTCAAAATTTGTTTATTATCTCTGGCCATTTGGACTATAAGGACATTATTAACCCGGTCTTTTAGTCGGAGTTTCTAACTTATAATTTGACATTTTTTTGTAACAATTTTCGATTAAGAAATAGCTCTTAGAATTCTTATTTAAAAGATGATTCTTAATTTTTTTAATTAAAATCTAAAAAAACTAAGAATCATTGCTTAGCGATTTCTTAGAACATTCACCATGGATACATAATAAATCAGTTTCTTGAATTATTTCATTAATTTTTAAGTTTTTGAATTCACCTTACCAATACAAACTAAACACCTATAGAAACAATTCTTTAAAATTGTGCATGAGTACCTTCAGCAAAAGACTAATCCTTCTTTTCTCTTTTATTTCTGTGCTATTCTCTTACTTTTTCATTTTTTATTAATAATCAAGTGGTGAGAAACTCTTAAAAAGACTCTCACTAATGGTATTCTTAGCCGAAATTAGAAATTTTAATTAAGAAATTGGGGTTAATCATGGTCTTTGTTTAACCAAAGTTGTCGGCACAAAGAAAAATAAAGGTCATTGGTTTTAGCTTCACGGGATTGGTTCACGTGCATTAGTTACTGTTCCTGGAAAGAGAAGTAAAACTAGTTTTGTTTTCCATTTCGTTATAAAGTCAATCAAAACTTCACGTGCCTTTCGAAAGAAAGGTTTCTCCAACGAAAACTTTCCTTATTAATCGGAGTGATTTACGCAACAGTCATTTTCCCGGAAACAAAGGTCCCAAAAATATCAAACCTGTGGTCTAAGTGAACAACAGTACACAACTTTCAATTAATCATTTAAATTATATATACATATACATGATTAGACATAATTTTTGGGTTGTTATTGGTTTTTCTCAAGATCGATAGTGAAATTTGACGTAACTTTGTCTTCCAATTTCAATATATTAATGAAGATTTGGCATTTTGTTGACCTAAAATAATGGTTCACTATCATCAGCAACCAATAAATCCATAATCTATAATCATCTGATCTAACACATCACCCACCTTGAGCTACTGAGTTTCTTACATAGATATCTCTCTTCTGTGGATTTTCAAAAGATCACATTATTAGTAAACCTAGAAGCTCATCTTTCTATAATGGGTAATAGCTTGGGAAGCAAGAAAACTGCCAAAATCATGAAGATCGATGGAGAGAGTTTCAAGCTGAAAACTCCTGTGAAAGCTGGTACGGTTGTTAAGGATTTTCCAGGCCATGTTCTCTTGGAATCTGAATCAGTGAAGCATTTAGGAATCAGAGCAAAGCCTTTGGATCCTAACCAGAACTTGGAATCCAAAAGGCTTTATTTCATGGTGGAACTTCCTAGGTAAGACCTAAGTTTTCATCTATTGGTTTTATGTTTTCGAAGTTTGAAATCTAATCATTTTGAAACTTCACGTGGTAGAACATGGAAGGAGAGAGCCCCGAGGAGGGTTCGGTCGGGAATACAGATGAGTGCTAAGGAGAGGCTAGAGAATCTGAAGCTCTCTCGTAGATCATCTTCTGATCTCTCGGTAATGAAGAAGAATGATGAAGAAGAAGAGAGAGAAGTGATGAGTAGCGTGAAGCTGAAGTTACCAAAGTGGAAAGTGGAGAAACTGAGGAAAGAGAGTGAGAGTGGTTCAGATTTCTCCGACAAGATCACAGCTCTTTGTCTCCTCAACATTCAGAGACAACGTTTGCTTCATAATGGAGGGAGAAGCTTTGGGATTGGAGATGAAGAAGGTGGTGGTGTCAAAGCACAAGAGGTGATCAATTCTTTTTAGGGTTTTGTTTCTTTCTTTCTTGTAAGAAAAAGAACACCGATCCGTTTCTCAAGCCATGTTTCTTGCATCCTCTAATTACGGAAGTTGCCACTAGGAAACGGATGTGCTCCAACTTGTGTGTAACAAACTTCTAGTGTTTTCTTAATATAAAACGATGTATCCTCTCTATCCAGCTAAGTAAGAATATATAACGTAAGCCTGAATATACAAAACATAACTCTGACGAGAGATGCTGAGCTTCTTATCTTCTACATTTATTACACATCCTTGTCTCTGTTACATAACCTTAGATATGTCATATGTGTGAAAGATCTGAAAATAAGTGTTATAGATCTCACATTGAAATGTTTAAAGGACCAACACTAATGTATACAAAGATACTTGGACTAATTTACTTAGTATCAACTGATTTTGAGTTTGAATTTTATGATAAACTAAAATTAATATAATATAGTCTAGTTGGTTATGAGTCCAGAAAAGGCTATTAGCCGTTTGAAAGTAAAATTTAGTTCAGAATGAGTCAATAATAACTATTATTTGATAAATAAAAAACTATTATTTGATAAATATATTGAGATTTCACAAGGAGTTTTAAAAAAACTAATAATAATGTATACATAAGTCATGGTTTTGAATTGGAAAGACATGATAAATCAGAAGTAGAAATAAGAAAAGGCAAATCATTAGTATTTTTTTTTCTTTCAATCTGAGGGGCATAAGTTTGCCAATAATTACAATATACAATTTCTCCAGACTTAGAGAAACCAACACACACCAATCAAACAAACAAAAAAAAAGATAAATTCAATCAGTCAGGTTCCAACCTGTATATTTATGTTCTGTTGTGTTAAACCAATTTCTCTTTTTATTGTAAAAAAACAAATTGAGATCAGTAAAACAAAAGAATGATGAAAAATGTTTTTTCTTTCTTTTACTCAATCAAGAGGTCCATGGCTCAGGAACAGTTAGAAAATAAGTGGTCATGGCCTTTCTAAACCTCCTCTTGTACTGTTTTGGTGAGATAATGGTCGGAGCAGCGTTCTTGGGACCACCCAAAATCCCTGAAGCTTTGACCCATGTCTCAAGGTGCTTGTCCCATGTATACTGTCTCATAAAGTCTATGATTCCAAGAACCAGCTCCTTACGGTCTTCGTCGAACCCAACCAGTAATGAATAGTCCATTACATCCACAGTCTAATTCCAAAAAACGAGAAAACGGATTAATCAAAACTTTAAGAACAAAAGTGACTTTGGAGTTGGGGTAATGAAAAACACTTACAGCTAAGAAGTTTGTGTCGTTCCATATAGCTCTCTCCAAGCTTCTCTTTGCCTTGCTTCCCAAGAATATTGGCTCTGTCCTTAATGCCTCAAGAAGATTCATGTCAAGCAAAACTCCAGCTGTGTTTGGATTGTACCGTGACCGTGCAGATCCTTTGAGATCATAGATTCTTGATATTCTCCTGTTGTAGAAGAGATTCTCCATCACCATCAAATCCATTTTAGTCTCTTTTCCACCTTTAGAGTGCTTAATAGAGACCTGGTAGATACCGAGAATCTTAGCTAGACAAGTGGGGCTCCCTGAACTGAGAGACTCCTTCATGTACTTGAAGTACTCAGGCGCAAAGTCCTCGAAAGAATCCAGCTCGGTTTTAACAACTTGTTTTATGATGAACCTCTCGTCTAATGACTTGGCGAAGTAAACATTGCTTTTCCCTCCCTGCGCACACCATCTCTGACACCGGCTCAAGGACCTCACAAAGTCCACTTCCGTCGGACAGCATGTCTTTCTCAGAGTGTCAAACTGTGTTGCGAAGTAACACGTCACAGAGAACTTCACTTTACCTTCAGTTGCACCAGAGGAAGAGCGGTCGCTGAAAGAGATAGTCAGATGAGGAGACTTCTTATCATCTTGAGAAGATCCATACACCGCATGGTGAATGTAATCAACATCCATCGCCCCTAGAGAACGCCAAGTGGAGAATGTAGAAGGTTCTGACTCTTTGTTGTTATTCAAGTTGCTGCTACTATTACTATTAGCAATGCCTCTGTTGATAACCCACTCTTTATACTCCTTGGAGTTGAGAGCATATGATACAACACTTGCGGGATCATCATCATATACAGGAATCACAATGTCGTTGAGACCACGTTGAGGAATCAACATCCTAGCCCCATCAGCCATCTGAGACGCCGAAGAGATGTATGTAGGCGCTGAGCCAACAATGAGATCCAACTTCTGCACTTCTAGTGGCAACATTTGTGAGTAAGTCCTCATCACGTTAGAGACAGGATCCCTCACCATGTTCCTGTACTCGCCAGAAGCGTGGAAAGATCTGATGCCTGAGAGATACAAAGAAGATGGTGGCAAACCCTTTTGGATCCTTTCTTGAAACCGTATCGCTGAGTCAAATGACTGGACTCTAATTGGCTTGGCCAGCCTCCGGAGGGGAGAATTAACAAAGCCTTCTGTCTCAGCTTTTTCTAGATTATGAAACGAGCCTAACCAAGCTGAGTCTATCCTCTCAGAGAGAGAAGAGCAAGGGGAGAGCAATTTATCTGGATCTTTGTTATCATCACCATTAGCTTCTCCATCAGAGTGACCTTTCCCTTCCCCTTCATCTGCACCTTCCTGCAGTCTCTGGTCAGTCTTTGGAGGTTCCTGCATCTCTAGACTCCTAGAAGCATTGCCATCACTAGCTTGAGAAACCATTGCTTTTTTGAGTTGAGAGTTTAACAAGTAAAGCTGATGATCCCAAGCATGAGAACCAATCATGAGTGCCCGTCTCAGTCTATTCAGCTCTAGAATATCCAAACTCCCATGATTTTGAAGACTCTCCTCAAAAATAGGTTGCAGCGCATCCTGTTCAGTATGAGGAAGGTTCTATTAAATACAAATTTAACAAGTAACATCAACAAGATTTTCAGAAGTGATGCTCACATCGTATTCATCTTTTTCCTTTACGAGTTGATCTTTTAATCCCATGATACGACCATGCAGTTCAGAGGCTCCAGGTTGTTCAGATTCAAGTAAACTGCTTTTCTCCTCCATGCGTTTGATCATACTAGATACCTCATCATACATAGTCCGCATCTTACCCATAAGCTGTAGAATGCACAAACATAAAAGTATATGAGCTTTACCATTTGCATATATCAAAAGACCTTAAAATGTTTCTTAAGGTTACCTCTGCTGCCTCTGTACGTATCCACTCCTGTTGAGGATGGCTATTGAATTCAAGCATTGACGGGGGAAGGAAGACAGTAAGTATATTGATGGGAGAATATCTAAAGAAAGCAACCATGTTCCCAAATCTGCAAAACACCAAAACCATAATACTATTAGTGCTTTAATAGCATTGAGATAATAACTTTGGAGAATGAGATGTTTACCCATAGAAACGAAGGCAGTCTCTCTGAAGCGAATGACCACAGGATGCAACACGATTGGCAGTTGCATGATTGGAGAAGCTAAGTTCTAGAAACTTCCCAAAGGACAGTCCCCAAGCAGCATCAGACATAACAACTCTACGAGTAGCAGGTGGGACTCCATCGACATGTGCACATCTTAAGCACCGATGCCACATCCATATCTTCCCATCTTGTTCACCAGGGAGCTTCATGGAAGAGTGACGTCTAACATTTATAGTAAGATTTCCATTCTGATGAGAATAGCAGAGGACATGAGCATCAACCAACTCCTTACACGTTCTACAACTTGAACTCTGATCGAAAAGATCATCTTTCAAATATTTTCCGAGAGGTTTATCAAAGGATCCATAGAACTTAATCCGCAAGAGTCTTGACCGTTCACATACTGATTCTTTCAAAACACAACGGCTTGAAAACGAGACCAATATGCTCTGATGAGAGTCCGCAGCAGAGAAATATTCACTAGAAGCATCATCTTCATCGAGATTCTCATGTTGTGGCAAGTTGTGGATGTTGTTCACTAACTGGTTCTCCTCTTCATGCAAATCAGTTGAAGAATATGATCTTATTACCAAACTTTCAGGTAAATCTCCATTCAGTGCATCAGATTGCTGCTCAGTGTCAACTTCACAAGATTTAATGTCTGAAGACGATGGGAATAACACACTCGGATCAAAGTCCTCGGATTCACAAGCCTCAGGCTCTGGCGCCAGTGCTGTATTCTCATCTTCATGTGCAGCTGTCTCAGCTAAAGCTTGAAGATCTTTTTCTGTAGGAGAATGAGTTACTAAGGAAATGCCATCATCAAACATTCTCCTATTTGATGCAGACCGCACCATCCCTGGTTGCTTCAGTTTAATTTTAGGTAGAGAAGCACCTTCATCCGCAAGGAACGAAGTCTCCAATGATAAGTGGTAAGCTGCAAATACAGCATACTGAATTACATGCTTAACCTTCTTTAGCTCTTCACGACAACTTCCCTTAAGCACAACCTGCACAAGTTAAAGTCTGATCAGAGATTGATTATTAGTGAGAAAACACTCAACAAACAAGACTTGAAGAACTTCGAATGAGCATACCGTGCAACCTAGGCGCTTAGGACAACCGTCAAAGTACATCAATGTCCTAGAGGGTTTTCTGTTAGACTGATTGCCAGCTTCATGTTGCTCCAACACTTTCTCAGTCCTAAAGAGCTCACAATGCCCCAACTGAGCAGTAGAAATCCTATCTACAGAAGGGCAAACAACAGCACCGGTGCAACGGGCTATTTGGTCCAGCAATGACCTTTTCACATTGAGCACCAATGAAATATCCTTCTCTAGAAGGTACTGCTGAGCATATGAAGATACACTCTTCTCTACTAAGAGAACATTAGGATGAAGGGAATCTATTTTTGCTATAATCGCCTTGAGATGATCATTTTCCTGTCCCAAAAACAAACGTTTTCAACAATTCAGTTCAGAAATTATAAGTAGACATCCTAAAGAAGAGCAAAAGACTAACCTGTTGAAGCAACGTGTTAAATGAAGCTAACTGTCCTGCAACTCTCTGATACTCTAGAGACCCAGCTAAAAGCAGCACTCTCGGATGTTTGTATTGAGACGTCATTCTCTTGTGCGTTATGTTCTTGCTACACACTATTCCCCTGATGAGGATGCTGCAGAAACAAAAGGTTATCATCAGCCAGAGAACAACAATAATGAATCAAATAGCAAAAGATAATATACCTCTCGTTTTGATTTCCAGATGCTACACATTTGATTTTAACATAGTTCCCAGGATCCATACTCCCGCCTGCACGAGTATCCGGCTTCACGAAAGTGGCAGCCTGCCACGCTAAAGCAGTGACAATATCCAGCCAGTCACCAGCACTGCCATCATCATCACAAGTAAGCTCCTCCCCACGTAATAGCTCTGCCACAAGAGCTCTGAAATGGTCATGCACCACCGTTCGAAGAGGCTCATTACTGTTGTCTCCTAGTTTCTCTCTTACAGGAACGTGGCTAGCAAAGCTACTACTCAATGAAAACTCATTAGCAGTCTCCCCAATACCATCATCATCATCGTCATCATCAGTATATGCAAAGTAGTTACTCTCAGCATCATCATTCTCGTCTTCAGGAGGGGGAGGATACCAGATGCGTCCGTTGTTCTCAAAATCCAACGGTTGTTCTTGCAACGCATCCTCCACCTCCTCCTGGCTATGATCTTCCGGTTCCACGCCCATCTGATCTGGCTTAGCTAAACCACCAGCCATGAGTTGTTGGTCTTGATCAAAAGAACCAACTCTTGGACTCAAGTCTTTGGCGTGCTGTACAAATCGCCCAAGAGGACTAAAATTGTTCCTTAATGGACTGTCGTGAGGACTGGACCCAGCTGAAGACTTACAACTAAAATGCTCATGTCTACTAGCACTAACACTACCCGACTCTACATCTGAATAGTATTCACTTGAAGGGCTGAAAAACTGTTTCCCACTGCTTCCACCTTCTTCTTCTTCCTCTCCCCTGCAAACACCCACCCACACATAAGACACACTTACCCTATAACATGTTCAATGACTAATAACTGCATTGAAAGCTCAAAACTCTTTATCAAGAACTTGAGCAAAAAAGATATATACCTGCTAGGATAGCAACGAATAGAGGCAATGTTCCTGCAATCTCTGATTTCAAGATTCTCATTTTCAGGGCTATCACCAGGATGAACCTTGTCATAGCTTTTCCCTCTCAGCTCAAGAACCTCACCATCACATTCTTTGCAAAGCTTCTTGGGATCTTCTGGTCTATCAGAATCAGAGGAGCAGCTCTTGCACCAGAAACGGCCACAGCTAAGGCAACAGTAACCAACGTGGAGATTGGTTCCACAGTCATTACAGGTTTTGGAAATGATAGGCATTGGTTTGAATCCGAAGTTATCAAAGACTTAACCTTAACAATCAGATCTGGTAGTGAAACATGAGGTATTCCCATAAACAATCAAATACTCTTACTTACAAGAAAAACCCTCTCTCTCTATATTCTCTCACCTTAAGATTTTGAATTGAAGATTTAAAAAAAAAAACAAATAAAATCTCAAACTTGGGGTTTTTTTAGTATGTTTAATGAAAAAACCTCCCACAACAAAAATGGTGGGTAGATTTGGATGAAAAAACAGACTATTTTTTTTTTCTTTTTTTTTCCAACAAAAGAAAATCCTACATCAATTCTAAATATCAAACCCTAAATCAAGAAACCTCAAGGTTTCAATCTTGAAAGTAATGATGGAAGCAAGAAACAGATCCAATACCAAACAACCTTAATAAAGATGAAGAAGAAGAAGACTTTGACTTTCTCCTTGATCACAGCTTTTTAAAGATCAAGAAAGAGTGAAATTGAAGAAAAAAAAAAGGAAAAAAAATTAAAGACTAGGGAGAATGAGAATTAAAAGGAGAAGCAGAGAGAAGGTTCCTTTAGCTCTATTTACTTATATTTTCTTATTCTTTTTTTTATTCTCTCTTCTTCTTCTTCACTAACACTATCTTCTTTTTTTCTCTGTTCTTATTATACTTTTTTCTTTCTCTCTACTCTTTTAACAGAGAAGATGATACAGAGATTTCTAGAGAGAAACAATTCCTTATACTGCTCCGCCATTAACTATTCTCTCACCTTTTCTTTTCTCTTCTCTCTCATCCCTTCCCTTGCCTTTTTTTAATTTTATAATTCCAACTAGGCTTTATACCCATTTTCTAATTTATTTATCATCTGATTAATAAATTTTTTAATTTTAAATGGACTTGAAAATGACAATGACCTCCTCAAAGTCGTATTTTTTCCTTTTATTTGACGGGACATAGACTCCGTCCTCACCATTCCGTTTTCCCACCATTTTTCGCAACGGCGTTTTTCTCCTTTTTTATATATTAAAACATTTTTCCTGAACCCCTAAGAAAATTTTATTTTCTTCATAATTTCGTTTTCTTTTGTTTTATTATTATTCTCTTGCAAAGCCAACAATTTTTATGTTTGATGCACTTTTTCCAACAGTGGTTACCTCATACCTGTGTTTAGATCTTTTTTAATGACCATATTAAATACAGAAGATCTCTCTTATACTCCTCATAAACTTTAAAGTCGCAATAAACGTGTGGATCTGGTCTGAATCGAAAAGCTAATTACTCAAATTTCTATATAACTGTAATTATATCTATATAAATAGAATATATACATGTGAAAAGGATACCAAGATTATATGAATCGAATAACAAGTAATGATTAAGGATACGCTTTTCAGCGGAATATAACACATATAATTGGAGAATGAGAAGATAACGCTGATCTCATTATATAATTGAATAGTGATTATAAAAGCTTGTACGGGAAGATGTAAATAAAAATGTAATGAAGAATACATTTGTGTACTGACTTTGACTAGTATCTGTTCGATTTAGGGGTTGATTGGTAGAGCATTAGCATAAGCATTATGCTCTCTATTATCCAATCAACATTTGGCAAAGAAGCATTTAGAAAAGCATTTACCAAATGCAAATGTTCTTCAAATGCTCTTTGCTTAATGCTCTCATATAGAGCTTTTGGGAGAGCATTTACATATAGAAAATATTAAACTTAATAATATTTATATATAATTAATTTATTTTTGTTTAATAATATAAACAACATTTTTATAATTAAATATAAATTTATAAAAATAAAAATTCTAATTTTTTTTTTAAAAGAACAATATTTTGACATTTAAAATATAATATAATTTATATAATTACATATATCATTCATTATTTTTAATAACAAACATAACATAATATAATTTATATACTATCAATATAAACATATTATTTAGACACCAATAAATAAATTATACATTAAGTTTTATGATAATTTTATATATGAGTAATAGGGTGCTCTACCAATAAATAAATAATACTAATTTATATATAAAATATAATTAATTTATTTAATAATAATTATAATTTAATAATGATTAATTAAATTATAACTATAATTTTATATATGAGTTATATGTTTATATCCAAAATAATTTAATATTTTTAAAATAAATTTTAAATTTTAAATATAATTTATATAATGAAAATTCATTATTTTTAATAAAATTAAATATTTTTAATATATATTATATATATTATTTTAAAAGAAATATATTATTTTACTAACTATTATGACAATTTTAAAATTGTGTACTGTTAATGCTCTGCCAATCACTTTATTAAAAACTTTAATGAAAGCATACAGCTTCTGTAGCATACTGCTTCTGCAGCATACTGCTACTGCTTTATCATCTGGTGTACCAATCGAGGCCTTAATAGGCTAACTAGCAGAAGAGTCTGGATTATTTATTTGTGTAATTAATTAACTTGACTAATTAGTTAACAACTTTAAACAGTTGTCCGTTAGTGGTGGTGGGTTTATACGGGATGGTTGTGTTTTTTTTCTTTAAGGGGGGTGCGGATTTATTATGTAATGGATTAAATATTTATTTCTTATAAAAATAAGAATATTAAAAGGAAAATGAAACTTTATTGGTATAAAAAGATTATATATCGTATTCACGCGCTGGTATACCGAACGTATAACCCACGCGCCGTTGACAAAAGGGAATAAGAGTAAAGTAGAAACCATCCGTTTGTGTAGCTTTTTTAGGTGATTGATCCCTAACTCATTCGTTTATCACTTTATTAGGCATCCTCTTTAAGTATTAGCCCTATTCAAATTATTCTCTTTTTCATATTTTTGTATCTCTTTAGATATAACAAATATTTTAAAATAATTAAGAACATTGTATTCGCATTGGAACATATTTTCGTGAGTATTATTTGTTCATCACTGCTTTCGAAAAATGTATAGTCAAAACTAAAAGTGATATCTTGCAAAATGCAAAATAATTGTATTGTTTCTTTTTTGGGTTGATCATATGCTCAGCTCCTTATTTGTGAAGATAAGCATATGAGACAATTATGTTCAAGCATATGAGACAATATATTCAAGCCTTTAGAATACAAAGGGAGAACTGAAAATTTCTAAAACATAACCAAGAAATCTTGAATATTGCGTTTAAGAGGAAACTAGAGTTTTTACATCACTTAAAAACAGTGTATCTAATAATTATATATAAAATATTTAATTCGTAATATATGAATGATCTAACTGGTGAATATCATAGAAACATTAGAAATGAATAGAAAAACAAATAGTGGAATAAAATTATAGAAATAAAGAAAAAAATAAATTTTTATCAATTTTGGTGAAAAATAAATTTATTCTATTTTTTCACATCATAAATTTATTTATATTCCTCTAAAATAAAAAGAATGACAAAGAATAGAAAAGAAAGTTTATTTTTTCTAAATGATAAAATAAATTAGGAAAAATCTTTGTTCTCTTTCATTTTTTGGTCACTAGTTGAAAATTTAATAGACTATTTAACCAACATAATTTAAATTATAATATCTGAATACCCAATTGATAACTTATGATATGCCGTTTTGGGCAAAACAAATGATATGATTAAATTGTTAATGTAAAAACTTGATATGGATTTTCTCCTAAATGTCGTACTTAAACACTAGAGCAATAATGTTTTGAAAAAAAATAAGTGATTTTCTTTTAACATAATTTTAAAAAGGTTGGTGAGAAGCCACCATCCCGTTTTAGTTTTTGGAGGTTGTTGTATTTTTCTAAACTTTTTATAAGAATGATTGTTGGTTTGAACTTAATAGAGCCGACTAGATAAGATCAGTACTAGATTATTAATCGTTAAAACAGGTATTTTGGTACTGGTATTATTTCTATAAATAAAAAATTAATACAGTATATAATAACAAATACTAATATATTTTACAAATACTAATATATGATAGTAGACATATTAGTAGTCTTCTAAGTCTGTTTAGGAGCTAGAATGAGAACATATATTCTCTGTAAATAATATTTTTCGTGAGAAAATAAATAGAAAGGGATCAAACCAAGCAGATCCACTATTCATCTCGTTCGTTTGGGACACAACATTATACACATGAGTGATCCAAAATTTTGCCCGAACAGTAATTTTAACTAGTGACACATGTGCTAAAAACGACATGCTGTATTCATATTATCAGTGAGGTAAATCAACACACACTTATAAAGTAGTATGTTGCCAAAAAAAAAAAAAAAAGTAGTATTTAGTGCCATGTTATTAGGTAACCGACCAACTGGTGTTACTGGACTACTAAACATATAATCCTAAAACATATATAAATTGTTCTTCATGAATATTCTCTTTTATGTTTTAATAACCAAATAAAAAGACTTTGAAAATACAAATATTTATAAAACAATAAATTAGTAAGAAAAGAGATTACAATAAGCTTCATAATAAATAGATTATCCGAGCCATAACCGGATCTGAGATTTTGAGAACTTGAAACATTTCTTAAGAATTCTAAAAATTTCAAAGGTCAAAGTTAATGTTTAAAATCGTATTCCTATATTAAAATTTCTTAAAAATTTGAAGACCAAAACGAATGTTTCATTTAGTTGTGTCCAAATCCGGTCATGATCGAGTCTATGTCATATATGAAATCTCCCTTCTGCTTTTACCAAAATCCCAAAATGTGAATAGCTCTTTTCACCATTTACCTTCTGTTCATTTTTTTTATTTTTATTTTTTGCTAAAACACTTTTTTTGAAGGGTTCTAACCTTTTTCCAAGAGCTTTAGAATCTCTTGTATATTTATTTTAATAAACCAACTAAATTTTCGATTTTTTTCTGGATAATTTTTTTTACCTTTGTAATCGCATTATTTTTTGACAATGTGAGGAAATATTCAAAAACTTTTCACGACTTAGGAAGTCTTACAAAAAAAAAAAAAAGATCTATGCGAAGACATCAATTAGCATATAAAATTGATCCGATCTTCAACTGCTGAACTGCTTACATCCATTCACCCAAACTCTATCTCTGAGTTCTTCGATAAACATTTTTCACAAAATGACCTTATAATTGATTAAGAATTTTATCTCATATAAAAAATGGTTAAACAGTATTTGATAACCCGGAACCGAAGGGTTCATATTCGAAACTGAACCGAATATCCGAATGCTCAGGCCTAGGATAAACCAAACTGCTTACATAAACCTGCTTTTTGGTTTATGTACTAAAAATACTATTTACTTTTCAGTTTAGTCCTTATAATTTTGTAACTTACATATAACTGTATTTTTATTAATTTTCTTATCACTTTACTTTTTATAAATAAATATGTTTGAAATATTCAAATATATCTTATATATATAATTAATACATAAAATATATAAATATGCTAAAATAAAAGAAAATATGTTATAGAAGATTAGTATCTAAATAGAACACTTTAGATTATCATATGTGGGAACACTATGAAATAACAATAGTGAGTAATTTTTATTTTTATTTTTAGTTTTTATGAATTAAAGTGTGTTTTCTATTATTATATTATGTATTTAAAAAATAGTATTTATGAATATTATGTTGAATTTTTTAATATGTAATATTATCTATCTATATAAAATTTAGTAATTATAATTAGTTTATACTAAAATTAAGGATTAAAATGCAAATAGTATACAAATTTTAAGATAGATTTGAATTTTTTTTCTTTAAGTAACACATCCTCAAATTTTCATTTTGAGGATTTTTT